TACAGCCCACTTCTTCGGATGCATGCATCCGAAGAAGTGGGCTGTAGTCCACGAAAGCTTATGCTCTAATAAATTTGTTAGTCTCTAAGGTGCCACAAGTACTCCTGTTCTTCTTTTTGCGGATACAGACTAACACGGCTGCTACTCTGAAACCTTTATTTAATAGGTGCATCAACAGCAGAATAGATGAAACCTGATTCTGATTCTGTGTCTGGTTCAGAGAACCAGATTTAGTTGGGGATTGGTCCTGCTTTGAACAGGGGATTGGACTAGATGACCTCCTGAGGTCCCTTCCAACCCTGATATTCTATGATTCTATGAACCCCTTAACACCATCTGTCCACATATTTCTCTTAAGCCTACTTTGTGTTAGTGCCATCCTTTGGATCATGCAGGTTAACTCCATATGCAGGTTAATCCACATTAGGAAAATCTTCAATCAGCCATTTTGGTGTCTATGCCACAGGAGTCTGCTTGCCCAAGAACCACAGCATTTCATTCAAGTTTCCTGTACAGGTGTGTTTGATGCAGCAGTGGATGAATTCCTAGGTATCAATATCTTAGTGAAGCACAAGATTCAAATGTTGAGGTAATTCACAAATAACATGCCCATTGTTCTGTGAAGTCCATGGTTCAGAGGGAAGGAGCAGGGGATACAATACATTTGATACTGTATCACTGGTGAAATGGATGTCAGGAAGTCTTTGTAAAATATTTTAACTGTTCTGACTGATTTTTCTTTCTGCTGCCCCTCTCCTATGATCTCTTCCTGTTTCTAAATATCCTAATGTGGGATTTTGATAGGTAAGTTCTATTTAAGCAGTAATTTAAATAGAACAGACGGTTGGGAATCATCAAGAAAGGGATAGATAGGACAGAAAATATCATATTGCCTCTATATAATCCATGGTACGCCCACACCTTGAATACTGTGTGCAGACGTAGTCGCCCCATCTCAGAAAAGATATATTGGAATTGGAAAAGATTCAGAAAAGGGCAACAAAAATAATTAGGGGTATGGAACAGCTTCTGTATGAAGAGAGATTAATAAGTCAGGGACTTTTAAGCTTGGAAAAGAGGCAACTGATAGAGGTCTATAAAATCATGAGTGGTATAGAGAAACTAAATAAGGAAGTGTTATTTACTCCTTCTCATAATACAAGAAAAAGGAGCCACCAAAAGAAATCAATAGGTAGCAGGTTTAAAACAAACATAAGAAAGTATTTTTTCATGCACTGCACTGTCAACCTCTGGAACTCCTTGCCAGAGGGTGTTGTGAAGGCCAATACTATAACGGGATTCAAAAGGGAGCTAGATAGATTCATGGAAGATAGGTCCATCAATGGCTATTAGCCAGGACGGGCAGGAATGGTGTCCCTAGCCTCTGTTTTCCAGAAGCTGGGATTGGGTGACAGGGCATGGATCACTTGATGATAACCTGTCTGTTCATTCCCTTTGGGGCACCTGGCATTGGCCACTGTCAGAGAACAGGATACTGGGCTTGATGGACCTTTGGTCTGACCCAATATGGCTGTTCTTATGTTATTTCCATTTATGCCTTAGCAATAACGTTTTAAAAGATCAAATATATGCCAACATAGACTAAACTTAATTTGGGTTTTTTTTTCCATTCTTTTTTCTCGTATGTCTATATTATGAAATACCCCTTGTTCTCTAAATATGGGCTTTACAGAGGAATGGTCATATTATTTTGTGTTGTGATTATCCACCTTATGGTAAAAAAAACAAAAAACAAAAATCTCGGACATCTTTTGGCAACATAGGATTATGAATGGGAAAAGTTGCCCTGGGTAACAGGGGGCTGTACAAAACTGGATCAATTTCTATAATTCTAGGGTTTTCTGAGAGAGAGGCATATTCTGGAGACTAAGGGGGGGGGAGGGATGAAAAGAAAGCGGTACCTTTTTCTAAGTGATTTTTTAAATATCAAAGTTAAGAAAACAATTGATAGTATGATCGCACCAGTGCCTATTCCCCAAAAAACGTCTCCATCATTATCTGAAAAGGGAGGGAAAAAAAAGAGAATTAATCAAATTGCTTATATCTTAGGGAAGATTTTTTTCTAGGCCCCAAACCTGAAAACATGTATACACGTGTGTGAGTAGTCCCATTGAGTTCAATGGGATTATTAACACGCATAAAGTTATTAATATGCATTAGGGTTTGCAGGATTGGGGCATTAATTTGTAAACCAGCGGCCTGGTGAGAGGACAAACATTTTTCCAAAAATGAAGCTTAGAAAGGCTGAAGAAATCTTTCTTACTTTAAGAAATGCTGTGGGGCCCGTTGCTCAGCTGACATATATCAACATAGCTCTACTAAAGTCAATGGAGCGATGCTGATTTACACCAGTTGAAAATCTGGGATGAAATACACAAAACAGACTATTTAGTGCTTGATTCAGCCCGTTTGTTTAAAAATGACAAAGCAAGGGAGATGAATGTGCACTGTTGTCTTAATTGTGCATTCCCTGTGCACTCCAAGCTCTCACTGTCTTCAGTGAGTGCAGGACCAGGGGCTAGAGGAGCAGCACACTTTACACTGCATACTAATGTACATTTGCTACTGTGATCTGGCTGTGAGAATCTAGCTGTGGAAGGGAGTTTCCAGGCAAGCACTTCTGAGAAATATGGCCAGTGTGTTTAACCATTAGCTACACATAAGAACAAATGTGTACGCTGCTTTTAAATTGATCTTTTGTTTGGTTTTGGCTGCCTGACTCTGAACAAGCAACACAGAAGTACCTTTACGGGTTACAACAAACCAGAAAAATAACTGAGGTTAGTGTTACATGAGAAATAAACAAGCCTTTGGCTCAAATTGTGGAGTCAAAATAGCTTAGCCTATCTGTATGATCAGGAAATGCTATCTTATTTTTTGTCTCAATTTCTCATATCCTAGCTGTTGTCCCATACATTTAATTTTAAGTGCCTTAACAAAACAAAAAGACCTAAAGCATAATTGTTGCAATAGTACAGTTTATACAACCTATTAGTACTATGCCCTAGACTAACTAACATGTGTTGTTTGCTTTATAGGGCTGCAGCATTCTTGTACTTGTGAAAGGGTGTGTTTTTGGCTGGGCCATGTCTCTAATAACAAACCAAGTGTTACTAACTTTTCACTTCTCTGTTATCACGTCACTAAACTGCCCTCCCCTCTCGCAGTCTCTGAGATACTATTGGTAGCCCATAGTACAGCAGAAACCACCCACTTCTGGTCAAGTAGAAACTCTTGCTTACCAAGTCTGAAATACTATCTTCTTACCATAGGAAATCTTCCCTGTAGCTGTGGCGATGATTACAGGATCAGTATCAATGCTTGTGTTTGGGAGCCATTTTACTGAAATAATTTAATGAGGGAGAGAAAACAGTGTTGTGGTGACAACCTTACAGAATATGTTTCCTTTAAAAATCGGGTACGAAGCGCCTAAATCTGTTCCAAATGGCATTTAGGCACCCAAGACGCTCAGGTGCTTTTTGAACATTTTACCCATGTCCTTACTGAGGGGAAAAAAATAGAGCTGTTTCACTCAAGCCCCAAAGCAGCTGTTGGCACCTGTTTGCCTTGGTGTCCAAGCAATTCAGTATGGATTTTTGTAGACCTGTCTGGAATTTAGACACAAGTGCAGAATGCTCATACTTACCCTTTTCAGCTCTCCCGCTCCTAACTGGGTGGATGCTTGAGATTTCTCTTACCAATGCTGACTGCCAGTACCAAACATCCTTGTCTAATGAGCCTCCTTGTATAATTTTTAAATGATAAAAGAGAGAAATCCCTACGCCACTCTGCTGTGAGTGGATACCATCAGAGATATTTCATTAGCTTTTCCCCAAAGAATGTGGATTTTGATGGCCAAGACCACAGACCAGTATGACAAACTGTAACATACAACTTGTCTTTATTTAAGAATAACCCTATTTACAGCCATGGAGACCCATATCTATATATCTATTTTAGGCCTCCATAATCTGGACTCCCAGGAGATGGAGAACTCTCCACCCACTCAATCATTTCTCCCTGCAACCTAAATGTTCGCAAAGAAGAATGCTGCAGCCTTGCCTGAATTCCTTTTGATATCATTCATTTTGACTGGCTGGATGCAGAGCGATGGCCAGTGATTGTGAGTAGCTTCCATGAAGGGAAGCACATTTATACTGAACAAAGTCACTAGCCTGGTTTCTTGTTTCATTGTTGCAATTCCCTTGGTATCTCCATTTCCCTCAGCCAATAGGAGGCGTCTTTGATTCCACGGAAAACCTCTTCCTTTAATTTTCAAAGTTCCAATCTATGCTTCTCACTTTGTTTTTAAAGTTACATTCAAACTCTGTGCCCCTAGACCTGGCAGTTCAGGCAAGCAAGTCTAACTTTTGAAGGACTTTTTAAAGCTAACAAAGAAGAGTTTACAGATGCAATTTATCCCTTTTAAAAAAAATACAGTAAAGGTTCAGAACTCTATATCTTACAACAGGACAATATCATTACACTAAGTCTTATAATAAAACATTGTTGTAAGAAGTAGAGTTGAATGACACTGAGCTTTGAGCCATTGCTGTAGAGTAATGCAGTATTTTTTATAAAGGGAAAATATATTGTAGGTTTACACATGAACATGTACTAGATTTCGAGAACGGCTAATCCTGCTAATGATAAACATCATTACAAGATATATTGAATTCCGAACATATGTTTGATTCTCAGGATATGAAATACCATTTTGAATACTGATTGAATACAAATGAGTTATCACTGTGGACAATTCAGTCCATGCACCGTATAATTTACTTGGTTCTTTGGTTCCCCTGTTGTTCTAGGCACTACTACAATACAGTTAGTAATAATAATAATGGCCGTATCTAGCACAAAATCACTTTTGCCATGTCATTGAGCACGACTTAACCATAATTATTTTATCTTTAGATCTGTGCTCTATTTGAGTTAAGGACATGACCTTCACCTGATGTAATTTGTTGGCCTATGTGAAATGCCCATTATATGAAGTTAAATTTTGTCAGGATGACTTGCTGTTGTATGATGATTTTCACAATACATCATTTGTTAACACTGAAGAATTATGGGGAGGGAGGAAGTTGTGGGTGTGAAATGAGAAATGTATTGATCTATATATTAAAATATATTTAGCCAATATTAGTGGGTTGACACAGAATTACTGTATTCTACATTGAATGCTGCCATCATGTGGCTCAGGTAGAAATTGCAAATTATAACCATGGATGTTACTTAGCTAGTTGAATCTGTTATTGCAAATAGTTTATCTGGTCACTTTGGCCCTTTGTTCTGTTCATGACCCAGTCCTGATTTCTAATAATATATTTGGTTTTTGCAAGCATTCATCAAAGAGTTTATGCAAACTGATTTCCACAAAGCATTTCTTTCAACTATGTCTTTGACTACTTGTGATTTATGGTATGTGTGATTGGTCACCAAAGGCATATGGCATTGTTTTTGTTCCCTGATTGGATGACTAAATACTCTTAAATTTGGGAATAATGAATGAATTATAGGAATAGCAAATAATGCAGTCTGGAATGAAGTTTCATAGCTTGATACATGTTAAGGGCAGAAGGGACCATTATGAGCATCTAGTCTGACCTCTGGCTGTAGAATTTCACCTGGTAATTCCTGAATCAAGCCCATTAACTTATTGTTTCAGATGAGCTCAGGTGAAAAATTTGGGATTCACAAACATTTTCATGAATAAACCAGTGGTTGTCCAAATATTCTCAAACAACAAATAATGGGACCTGACACACACAAACTCTTACAGCAAGTGAGGAGAAATGAGGAGTATTCTATTCTGTAGAGTCTGGCAGTATGAGAACCAATATAGAATACAACAGAATTCTTGTGACGGGTTATTCAAACTCCACACTGATAAGGAAGGGGTTAAGCTGTTGCTCTGAGCCCCAGAGGCCCTACCCTGCCACACCATCAAAGCATTCATGGTTTGGAGGAGGAGCTCAAAAGGGGAATAGGCCAGCTCAGAAGGAAGGTAGACAGTGGAGATGAACTGATCTACTTGGAGCTCCTGGGAAGGAGCATTACAAGAGATCCTGAGGCTCTGGTTGTAGAGACTTGGCTAAACCCATAGTGGAGAGCCTTGCCACACTCAGGAGGTCTGAGACTTTATCTTTGATTTCAGCAACAGAGGGTCCTGTGGCACCTTTAAGACTAACAGAAGTATTGGAGCATAAGCTTTCGTGGGTGAATGCCCACTTCATCTTGCATCTGATGAAGTGGGCGTTCACCCACGAAAGCTTATGCTCCAATACTTCTGTTAGTCTTAAAGGTGCCACAGGACCCTCTGTTGCTTTTTACAGATTCAGACTAACACGGTTACCCCTCTGTTCTTTGATTTCACTTATTTGATGTTTATTGCTTTACCTGTTGGAAAACAGGGAACTGGTAAGGAAGCAATCCAGGAGTCAGCAATATGGCACTTTCAGGCACAGAACTTAGCTGCCTACCTTTGGGTCCTGGATCTGAACCCAGAGGAGAGGCCAGGCTTGGGGTTCCCTACCATCCCCAAGAGGTGGATAGAAAAGTGTGACCTAGCCAGAGCTTGAAAGGGGCAGACCACCTCATGGCTGGAGCCACTATTACCAGTGGAAGTGCAAAAGAAGTGATCCTGCTATGCCTGAGCCCGATCACAAAGGGGGCTCTGGTGTGCACCCGCCTGCACAGTATTCCTCCTCTCTTCATAAAAATACTCACAAATCACCTTTTCTGCTATTCAACTGGCTCTAGTGCCAGTAGTTAACATTTCCTTTTTAAAATGTCTTGTTTAACCAAGACTTTGACAAAAAAGGAAGACTGCCAAACTCAGAGACTGTACCAGATTTCTTCTTCTTCTCTGGACCTTCTCCACAACTGTTATATAAGATGAAGTGTATGTGTCACAATATCACTGCTGTGTCAACTGTCAAACTATTTCATACAATTGTCTTGGTACGAGTTTCAGTGCAGTCTTTGATCTGACCTGACATTCAGGCTGACGTTATGGTTTATAATCAAGGGTGGGAATGTGACTAATTCACAAAAGAAGAAGAAAAACTATTCAGTTGTTTTTGCCCCAGTATGATTCACATCTATATTACTTATTTTCCCAATGAACTTGAAATAGCTTTGATGTATTTATGAGCTTCCTAAATCAACTGTTAACAGAGACAAACTCATTTAGCTAAGTGCTTTAGAGTAATTACAAAAAATCTCTTGGATAACTGGAGTTGTGGATGATGGGGATAAATTATATAGCTATATAACATATATCATTTACCCCAGTCATTTATATATGTAATATATTATTTCTCCCTAATATATATAATATATGTCACCCATGCCTTTGTCACCTTGGATTACTCTACAAGGGAACACAGATTTAAATATTCAATAGCTGCAGCAAGTGCAGAATTCACGAGCCCAGTTATTAAGTTGTATTTCTCATGACTAGCACATATTTGATTTCACATATGTGGCTTAAAATCACAATATAAATATTGATATGTTCTAACGCAACCAGAAGATATGGGCTTGATGCAGGAATTATCAGGTGATATTCTATGGCCTGTGTAATGCAGAAGGTCATACTACATACTAGATGGTCCTTTCTGGCCTTAAATCCTATGAATATATTAACTCAGCTGTACCGATAACACTCTATACTTAGATCCTGTAGTGTCTTCAGCAGTGCAGCAAACATCACCCTAAGCTATGTTTTGTTGAGAGTTCAAGATTTAGTGTCTTGCTTATACTGATCCTTTTTTTTTTCCCTCACAAGGAATAGATGGAATATCTGTAGCCTGGTTAGTTTCTATGGGAACCCTGTCTGCTGATCTAGTAACTAGATCACCACATTGGAGACAATCAATTTGTCTTTGAGGAAGGACAACACTGAAAACAATGATCAAATAACTTTGAGTATATACTCAAGGTCATGCCTCCTTGGTGGAAAACATTGGCAGGACTGCCCCTGAGAAAAATCCTGGCCAGAAACATAGCCAGTTTGTCTTAGGGGCAATGTATGTACAGTTTCAGGTAGCTCATCTGGAAATCTATTCAGAGCAGCATGAAAAATGATTTTGTGGCTTTATGGAAAAAAACACATATGTTGTCCTTGTCTCCAGTTATGGGTACAGTAGCTTTTCTTTACTGAAGAAAACAGCCAGTAGAATTCTGATGGCCTCCAAAAGTGTGTCTCTATTGATCCAGAACAAAAGATCAGGTTTGGGCTTTGTGTACATTACAAATTGCATGAGTCCAAGCCAGGAGAAAACAGGACCCTTTCCCTTTGATCTGGGTGTGAAAGTATGTGACGTAGTTGTAGGAGAGGGAAATACTTGTGTTCTCCCACATTGTTCTGAAGATCCCTGATTGGCTATTGGCTTGTCCCAGTGTGCCATTTCAGCTGGTGGTCTGGCCAAGGATCAGTTGCACAGAACATCTCAATTAATTTTGTACGTCTGGCTCCCAAGCAGAACAGAGGCCAAAACAATGCTAGAGGCCACTCAATTATCCTACAGGGGAGAAAGGGGCATTCAGAATACTGGAGGTTATGCAAAGCTTTCTCTTATTTTTCTGTATTTAGATGACCTAGGGCCTGGCCCTGGACCTACACAGCTGCTTCTCCAGGGGAGGTTAAGAAGGGTCACCACTTCGCCATTTTCTCCCCATAGAAATGATGGTGTTTCCCCACATTGCATGGGCTTTAATTGTCAAATGTGCCCCAAAAGAAGCAACATTTGTCCTCTTCCATTACAAAGTGCAAATTCTCCCCATGAACAAATCTGCAGATTCTCATGAAAATTCACAAACACATCAGTATTTGTACCATTTTGAAAAGTGAAAATTGATTCCCTTGAGCATCAGCTTTAATTATATTGTGTCCCATGATGAGCTGCAAACTACATTATACCCACACAAAGACAAAGTGCAACTGTATTGGCAAGGTCCCTGCTGGTGGTGTTCTGGTATCCAAAAAAACCCTGCCTTCTTTTAAACTCCTTCTAAAGTTCTGCTTTCTCTATAGTTCAAGGAAGGCGGGAGAAAATTGATAGTTTATAAAATCAAGTAGCTCTACAAAATTGCCAAATCATGGAAAGACCTGGGGGAAGACTGTTTTCCATAAAACTGAACACTGAAATGTTACTACCATCCCAGCACGCAGTGACTTTACCACAAGAGTACACTTACCTAAATCCACCAGATAAAGTTGGCCAGGACATGGCTTGCTTATTCCATCTTGATACACTGCATATACTGAAATGTTCATGTGAATTCCTTCTGTGAGGTCTCCTGAAACGAATGTTAGTTTTATTTAAAATTTCTGTGCAAGTTAAAGTTAAAACTGCAGAAAATTTTAATGGGATATTTAAAGAAAGTGAAAAGAGGCCTGGTCTGACTATATGGGAGCAGGAAGTACTAAGAATGCTTAAATTCTATTCCCATCACTCAGACTGACTATCCACCTTGGTCAGATTTTTTTTTGGGGGGGGGGAGGGAGAGAGGGAGAGGGGGTGGAAAACTTGGGGGGTTGGTTTTTTTTCAGTGAAAATTCAACTACTGAATGATACACTCTGGGCTCTCCTTTTGGAGAGGGGAAGCAGTGCATCATGGGTGTCCTTGGCACTGTGCATCATGGGAAGATGTAGTCTGGGTGGGAAGCCTAGCCCATAGAGGACAATGGAGACGTGAGGCAACTGAACAACACTTCCCATGAGGCACTGCCTGCAGCAGCATGGCCAAACCTAAATATTTTGGGGGTTTGGCTGAAATATTTCCATTTTCGGGGCTTTTAAAACTAATGTATTTATATATTAATTTTTGACAAAAATTTCAAATTTTCTTGGAAACTTCTCTCTGCTTCCCTATCTTTAATGGAAGAGCACTCATTAACATTGCAGTGAAGATTAATTAGTTAATGTCTGTAAAGTGCTTTGAAGATGAAAAGCCCTGTGGATATTTGACACCACAGTGACTGGTGGTTATAAAAAATGCTAGAAAGAGAAGCGTATTATTAAAACCTTCAGAAGGAAATTGCAGTTTAATACATATTGAATATAGCTAACTTATGTATGACCGATCTGTTCTGATACATAACACTGGAGACAATTGTGTTGTGAGAGAATTTGGGTATCAAACTTTTCACCAGTAATAAAACTATAGATCCAAATTTCCTGAACCTGTATTGCTGCAGATTTAGCAAAATAAATACATTTGTACATATGTGCCATAGCAAATTTTATAATCTCTGTGGTGACATATGGCTTATCAGATGGAAGAATTAATTGTATGTCATTTACAGTGAGGCTTTGTTTTCTGCACTGTACATTCCACTGTAAAGACCATATTTGTTAACAGTTTATGGAAGGGATTTTAGTTTCATAGTCATTTACATGTCTTACTTGTAAAGTAACATGGCATCCAATGAGAAGGTGACTTCAAAGGATGTGTTCATTTTTTAGTATACAGTTGTATTTATTATGATGAAAGCAGCTACCAGTTTTCACTTGAATTTGGTTTCTCACATTTTCCTTATAATATATCAGTACAGAATCTTTTTTTCCAACTAATATGGTTAACTAGAGATTCATCCTAGAAACTGCTACACTGCTCAGGAATACAGATCCCATTACATGCAATTCACCAAGCCTATGACAACTGATTTTACGGGCCTAAAATGCCAATGATCATATGGAAATGTGGGGACCAGGACCACTTTGCTGACAAGATCTGCAGTCAACATAACGGAGAGACATGGTAGGGGAGGGTAATATCTTTTATTGGACCAACAGAAGTTGATGATGGTAGAAGAAACAAGCTTTTGAGCTACATTGGGCTCGTCTTCTGAAGCTTGTCTCTTTCACCAATAGAAGTTGGTCCAATAAAAGACATTACTTCGCCCACCTTGTCTCTCTCTCATATCCTGGGATCAAGATGGTTACAACAACGCTGCATTCAGCATAATGGGACACATGCCACAATCCTTATTTTGCTGGATGCTTGACCTCAGTAGGAATTTTGCCTGAGTAAAGCCTGCAGGTTTTGTCCCATACAATTGTTCAGCAACAATAACTGCAGAAGACAGTTGCTGCCTCACATATTACTGCCTCTGCTCCTGTATTTTCACTCTTTATAGACACATTTCCATATGTACCACTCTTCCCTGCCCACGTATGACTTCACTACTTCCCACAATCTAGCCAAGTTTCATGTCTTCTCCCTCTTTGTGACTTGGTCCCTCCTTTCACAGAGCATCCTACATTTAGAACAGCCTCCCAATTAATGTCCACGTTTCCTGCCCCAACCTCTTTCAGACCACGTAACTCCTCCCTCCTGCCAATCTGCTACAAACATCCACCTGCTCTCTTTTGTCATATTTGTACACCTCTACCTCGATATAACAGGAATTTGTATATAACATGGTAAAGCAGTGCTCGGGGCGGGGGGTGGGCTGCGCACTCTGGTGGATCAAAGCAAGTTCAATACAACGCGGTAAGATTTTTTGGCTCCTGAGGACAGCGTTATATCGAGGCAGAGGTGTACTGTTAAAAGTACCAGAGACCTGGGGCTCAATTTAAATTCACAGTTCCTTTGTTTTCTTTTGTTGTATTTTGAGCTACAAGGCCTTGTGTACATCTATAGCACTATACAGAAAGTAGATAGCAAAAAGATTGTTACCATATCTTACCCTCTATATATGTAAATGTATCCTGGCTGGGGACTTTCTTCCATAAAAAATCGTGTTGCTGGTTATGCTGAGCTGCAAAAATCCATTCAACTATGAACCACAGAACTGATCTTCCAATGTATTTAGGCAGCTCCCATTTGACAGATACTCCTCTATGGTCATCATGGCTAATCTGCATGTTGGTGGGGGATAGGAAATCTGCAAACAGAGGTAGGAGGAATGATATGACTAAGGTGGGCCGGATCCTTCCAGTCATAGGCAGGCCTATTAAATGGCCCATTCTGCACAGGGAAACTGCCTATGCTCTGAAATAATTTAAGAAATGATCTTGAAATCAAAGAAAGAGATTTTACACAGGCATTTGGACCATTTTATATATTAAACGCCTATTGTTGAGTTTATCGCACCTTTTCTCTCTCTGAAAATCTGTACCTGTTGCTTTTTACAAGAAACACCTCTGATTCTTCTAATAGAGAGACTCAAGAACAATCAGATTTTTCCACTTTATTTACCTAATGCACTTTCTATTTAGTCATTTTCACTATATAATCCCTTTCACTTGCAGTGTCTGTGGGACTTTCCCCCGTTGCTGAATGCAAGAAACATTTTAGAAAACAGGAAAATGTGGTTGTGGAAAACCACAGTCATTGGCCTGGGGAACCTGAGGCAGATGTAGACCCTGAAACTACTTCTAATTCCCTGTTGTTGTTGTTTGTTTTAAATGACAAGATGTAAAGGTGAAATTGTGCCTTTATTGGAAATGAAAGGGGTTATTTTCACTAAGGTCCTGTGAACATAGGGAAATTGCCCACGTTCTGAGACTGCTTTCAAGACCTAATTAAGCAGCACAGTTGTGTCAGCTGGTGCCAGCCAATGCAGACAGTCCAAACCTTATTTTTAAAGCTATTGTTGAACAATGTCAGAGAGGAACATTTGAAATATATGGCTGATTATTTATTGTCTCCAGGGCACACAGTCTGGCGTCTTCTGGAGAGCACTAAGTTCATTTATAAAAAGAAGTGGGTAGGAGCAGAATTTCCAGAGGCTTTTCTCCAATTTAAAGCAATAAACAGAAGATATTTTTTTCTTTCCAGTTCTGACAAAACCAGATTTCAGTTAAAGCTAATGATGATGTGTGCATAATCTTACCGTTAAAATTACTGTGCTCTTGGGTCACTGTTATACTGGCTGGCATGGAACTTCCCTTTGAATTGTATGCAGTCACATGGACGGTGCGCATTGCTGGGGAAACCAGAACTTTGCATTGTGTGTCTGATGTATTACATAAGTTAACCATTTCTCCCCGGCTTTCATGGAACACAGTATAACCCAGAATTCTTCCTCTGGCATCTTTTGGAGCAAGAGGCTGAAAACAATGAAAAAATAAATGCCCTTATAGAACAGTGTGTTGTTTGCTGCCGCTGGGGAACACATTCCTCGGTTCACCATCCCCACGCATAGTGCTCCGCATGAAATTGTAACTATGTGCCAAGAGTATTGTTAATTGACAGAGAATCTCAAAGGACTGGAGTGAGACTCATCAACTTAGCATGCAAATACTCTGGAACAATTTCTCCTAAAGGAATAGGCACAAACAAATTTTGCCTTAAGTTTATACAGGCATGTCATCGTCTTCGTCCTCTTTCTTCCCTCAAACAAATTGGCTGGTTACTGCTTGTACAAGAAAAACATCACTTTTCCTTGTAGCTTTTGAGCTCCCATATAACCAGGATGTGGAACACTCCCAGATGAGCCACAAAACTAAAATCTCTTCCCTCCCCTTCTTCCTGAGCCCATAACTGTGCAGGGAAGCCACCCTCACCCCCCTTATGGGGTATCAGGATCCAGGGGTGTCTCTCCTCTTCTCCTCCCTCCCCCCCACCATGTGGGCTTGGGAGAAAGAAGCAAAGACCAGCCAGCCAGAGGGGCAGAAGCAGCCAAAGCAGGGACCTTAGTCCTTTTTGGAGAACTTTCTACCATTTCGACAGGACTTTCTCTGCCCTCTGGTGACTGGCAGCTTACTCCAACCATCACCCTCTCCCTCCCTCATAGGGTATGTCTATACTGCAATTAGACCCCCACAGCTGGCAGGGGCGGTGAGTTGTATGGGCCCGTGGTGCCTGTGCTCCAGGAATATTCAGGGCCCGGGGGCCCAGCTTCACCAATGTTCGGAGCCGGGTCTCTCACCCGGCCCCAACTGCTGCCCCTGCACACCTCCCCCGAAGCGTCTCCCAGCCCCACCTACCGCCTCCAGGTGATGTAAAAGGGCCCCCTGGCCGCCACCACCAGTAGAGCAGCAAGGCTAAGGCGGCTTCCTGCCCAGCCTCACTCCGCGCCACTCCCGGAAGTGGTCAGAACGGCCCTACAGCTCCAGGGTGTGTGTGTCTCCGCACGCTGCCCCCGCCCTGAGCGCTGACTCCGCAGCTCCCATTGGCTGGGAACTGTGGCCAATGGGAGCTGCAGGGGCGCTGCCTGTGGGCAGCGGCGTGCGGAGACCCCACGGCTGCCCCGCCTAGGAGCCGCTGCCAGAGGGGTATATGGGTTGCTTTCGGGAGCTGCCCGAGGTAAGTGCCTCACCCTCTCCCGCACCCCAACCTCCTGCCCACGCCCAACTCCCTCCCAGAGCCTGCACCCCTCACCCCCTCCCACAGCCCAAACCACTCGCTCCAGCCCAGA